TGCGGGTGACCCTCAATGACCCGCAGCGACCCTCGGATGCATAAATATATAGCACTAAGCCTAATTAGGATGTATAAATAAGCTTATACAATCATATATGCATAAATATTTACATAAAGTTTATTTTTATCGTAAAATTTGCTTGTTTGTCTTGTTTGTAGACCCGCGGGTGACCCTGAGGGTCACCCTCCGAGGGTCATGAGGGTCACCCGCGGGTCACTGCCAGGTCTAATCATCACTGATGGCATGATGCACATAACTAAAGATTATTATAACACAATGTATAATATATTTCATGTTTATACGCTGCTGTATTAGAATACCGACCTTGTTTGTCTATCTGCTCTCCTAAGTACACAGCACCAGCCGCCCACCTTTCTTGGCAACATATGACTAGTTAGCACTTAGCCAGTTTGCTATAAATAGAAGAGTCGGAGTTTACCGCCCACCTTGAGGAGGGGCCAAAATGCCGCTGAAACAGGGCAAACACCATTCGGGGATCAACTCTTTCCTTTCATTTTCTCCTCACTTGATACTATATCAAGCCTAGCAAGGATAAAATGGCTACCAATATGACAGCAGCATGTTTGGATCCATCACAAGCATTCCGCTCTGTCGACACGCTCTCTCATTGCTTCCAGATCTTTGGTCAGCAAGACAGCGATTCCTTGCGCAGAAATGACTACACGGGTCTTTTTGTGTATTCAAATAGCACCTTTGGGCTTACAATTGACGACTGCATCAATCAGTATTGCCTCAACCCTGATGCTGAACTATATGGTTGCAGTGGAAATTCTAGTCTTGACAACTCCCCTGGAATTGGATTAAGTGGCTCACTTTACCCCTATTCATATGGCATGATCATATCCCCTTTCCCACATTTTATGGCATCGGGTTGTGAGAATGTCAAATTAGATTTGAATGAGGATATCTCTGGCTCCGGTGTAACCCTCGCCTATTGCCCTTTGAATCTTGATTTCAAGAAACCACATGACTGATTGAAGTGATATAGATGATAATTGCATATATCATGCAGCTCCTGATTTTGTTCTATGTCTGGCTAGTCATCCGAGTCTTACAACTGGTTCACGTCTGCACACAACGTCTTTCTCGCAGCAAGCGAAGAAGCCAACAACTACCCTCTGTCTCAAGAGATGCAAAGCTTTCTCGTCATGCGTCAATCATCAAGTCTATTTCAGTCGACTTCCAGGAGTCCCAGTGTTTCTTTGTCATCTCCATCCAGGCCGCCCTGTTTGTTGCCTTATCTGGCGATTCGAGTGTGCTAGGTGCAACTAACCTGACACAACTTGGAATAAATTTTGCAGAGGCCAAGTCGATCTCATCAAAATTTATCCTTACAGTGACCTTTGGCCTATGGATCTTGCACAGATCTCATCTGGACTCGACATATATCTTGCTTTGGTCTGTGGCCAGTATTGTCATTTCAACATTTACGTTATTTAGCAAGAAGTGGGAGCTGCCGAATAACACTGGCATCGATCAGATTTCCGACCTCGATCGTTTAGATAAATGTGGACACAACCCTCCGCCCCTCGTCTATTGCGCAACGGGCCGTGGAGCTCCCTTTTCTTACTCATATTGGTCGAGTGGATGCCTTGTTATTTGTGGAGCGCTGGCTCTCCAAAAAATTATGTTTTACCTTTGTTTCTTTCTACCTTCCTCCCGTTTCGAACATACTATTAGGCAAGCCCGTGAGTCCAGAGCTGCCTGGATTCTCTCAAAATTGTGGACAGTGCCCGCGGAGATATACCTTCTTGTCATCAATGTCATGTTCATTTTCTCCGAGATATCACAATTCTCCCAGAGATTATATTACGCCCCGACAGACTGGACTTTCGGTCAAATCCTGGCAGTGACAATTTGGGTCCCAGTGATTACCAGATACATATACTGGTCTATATGTATGTGATTGGATCTACGCAACCCTGCTTGATTTCTGATTGCTGACCCCAAGCAAGTTGGCACCGATTCTTATTCTGCGACTCGGCTCTCGGGACCCTTCCATATCGTACAAGAGGAGGTTAAAAGCGACTCGCCGAACTCGCCCGATGGTGAGCAACTATATGCCAACCTAGAGTCCAACAGCGATTTAGAAATGCGGATAACCTCGGCAAGGTCCTAGACATGGAACTAATATTACACCCGATATCTCTGTTTTTAATGAGTCAGTACGAGTGAATACCACTGAGCAAGATGATTTTACATTATTGTGAACTTTGACAGAAACCAGACGATTTGATGTGCGTAAATCAAAATGTGGATATATCTGTCTGATTCACTATATTATCTAATAGACAGGAATTTCGTAACTATCATGGCACTGCTGAATAAAAACGAATGTATGTACGAGTTGAGGGGGCATGACCTTGTCCAAACAGTCGAAGGTTTCTGCGTGTATGTTTGATCGTCTTTTCGCTACACTCAGTTGTGTCAGCCAGTTGAGACGTTATTAGTGACTGACATAGGTAGGTTTGGTGCCATATTGGCATATGATTCTACTCAAAAAGTGGTGCTGCAAAAGGATGAAATGTTAGGCATAGGTTTCATGTAATATACAATATCACACGTAATGAAATGGTTTTAAATTTACAAAGGGACCATTTTTAGGAAAATGTTGTTTAGGTTTTTGCCGAATACGGAAAGTAGTTTCCAGTACCGGCCGAGAAACAATGCGTGGGTGTCTGTTGGGGAATCCGTTTTCAAAATCTACTGTACATAAAGCACGATGACTTGTAGTTGCAGAGTATCATGGGAATATACACTTTACTTTTTCCTCTAAATGATCTATGCTTTCACTTAGTCAACCCTGCAGCTATCTATGTTGTAACATAAGTATATTGGTTATATTGTTATAGAATTGTATAGATCACAATCCAATAATATAAATACAGATATAACCCTAATACATAAATAGTACATATTAAGATAACAAAACAATACCATTAAAACAAATACTCCAATACACACTTAAGGTTCTAAAAGTTAATGAATCTATCAACAGAAACATAACTTTAATTCCCCAAAAAGAAAGCATTAAGCTTCAGAAACTTCTTTAAACTTCCTAGAGGCTATATAGCTTCTAGAAGCAACACATATACCTCCAGAAACCACACTTAAACCCCTAGGAGTAAAAGAACTCCCAGTACCAGTATTTACATTCCCAGGGCCAATAGAACTATCAACAAAAGCATGATTGATTTTATAAAAATAGAAATAAAGAGTCTAGAGGTTATATACAAATTCCTAGAACTATATAATCCCTAGACAGCTTACATTATTATTAAATCGGCTTTTGAAACCTTTATAACTATTAGGATTAATAAATATTTACATACAATAGATCTTTAACCATTACCTGTTTACTATACCAAGCTATCCAATATACTACTCCAATATTAGCCACAATTAATTAGTTAGTCAGATCAAGTAATAAATATACTTTGGTTTCTATTAAGAAATTCAATTAATAAATTATTTTACTAATTTTGTAGTGGAGTATATTCCTTTACCATTTTCATCACACTTCTAATGATTTTAGACTCCACCTCTCTCATTTTTCAAAATCATTATCAAATTCTATAACTACCTTTTTTTATAAATCCAGTCGACTCATTCCTCACCCTTATCTTAGAAAGATGATAGAACCCTCTATACCTATTTTATAAATCTATATATATACTCTATTAGTTTCCATATAAAATACATATAGTAAAAGGTATAAAAGACATAATAACCATCAAAACTCTAAAAGCCACCTGGCTAACAGCTCCATAATACATAATCTTATAGTATAAAAAATG